GGGCGGCAGCTGCTGCGACACGCTCCCGGCCCGGCCGCCTTCGGACGTTTCCGATGCTCTCGCCCCGACTACTGATAGCATCGTGGCGAATGGAGACCACGCTTCCTCTGAGGTATGCTCTTTATTTTAACCTTCTTTTATGTCTTTGTTGGTGTTCTGACTTTTTACTAATGGTTTTATTTAATTGTTTTATTACTTTATGTGTTTTTCAATTTTATTTTCATTTCACCTGTGTTTATTCTTCAGTTAGCGTGTCTTGAGATCAGGTATTTTGCCCATTCTAACCTTGCTTGTTAGTGCATCGTGGACATAGCCATGTGCTCTGTTCCCGGTCTTGAGATGATGTATTGTAGTAAATAGGAAATGCTGTGTAATGTATCTCTTGTCTGTGTTTTAAGTGACAGTTTTTGTAGCAGCTGCTCTGAGGAGGCATATTTTCGTTGTCTAAGATACAATTTGTCCAGGGCCTTAAATACGGATATCCATGTCTGCTTTGTTTTATTTCCCAAAACTCTATGAATTCAAAGTACTTCTTCATTGTGAATGATTATTTGTTTGTTATGTGATGTGTGCATGGGAGCAGCTTGGAGGAATATAAATTATCTACCACCAGACAACTGGTCAGAGGTAGTAGTAGGACATATTTTTCTATCCATAAGAAGGGAAGGATCTCTTCACAGTGATATGAAGAGAAGAGAGAAACAGAGTTGGTGTATATGAGGGTCGTTCTCCAGGTTCTGTGGAGTCTTTTCTGCTTCACTGGCTGTGTTGATAAAGCTTTGAATGGGGTTTAGTGCTTGGGTGAGATATCATTATATCTCTTGGTCAAGAGATGTGGACATGCTTCATCATAGAGACACAGATAAAAAGTGATTGGGGGCTGGGTTGTATGGCACTGATACTGTGCTGCTGCCTTTCAAATGCTGGAAGAGATGGGATCCGATAGGTCTGGTTTGACTGCAGTGGTTTTCTCAGTGACTGGAATTCCTAACTTTCCTTGGCTGTCAGTGATACGTTTGTAAGTGGGAAAGCTGATTTTAGCTTGTGCTCATCCAACCATCGAAAACGAAATGACAATTTACGTGCAGGTTTTTTGCCCTCTGCCTATCTTGCTTTTTTCTTATGGCAGTGATAGGAAAGCAGTGGGAACACTGTGAGTCCACAGGGCAGTAAGATCACTGCAGGACTGAGGTAAGATCCTGTTTTTTGTTGTTGTTGTTGTTGTTTTGTGAGCACTGAGAGAGGGCTTGTGCAGCAGCAGGCTTTCAAGTGTAACAAAGTCAAACCTGTTTGCTCAGTTAAAATCATGTTATGAAATCTTGACATAAAGTGTTTTGGGTTGGAGAGGAATTTAAAGACCATCTAGTTCCAATCTGCTGCCACAGACAGAACTGCCACCCACTAGATGGTTGCTCAAAGCTCCATCCAACCTGGCCTGAATGCTTTCAGGTATGGGCCATGCACAGCATCTCTGGACAACCTATTCCAGTGTTTTACTGCCCTTATTGTAAATATTTTCTTCCTAATGTCTAACCTAAACCTACTGTTTTTTGATTCATAACTTACCCTTTTGCCCCATCATTGCATTCCCTTATAGGGTCCCTCCTCAGTTTTCCTGTAGGCCCCTTCAAGTATCAGAAGGCTGCTGTAAGTTCTCTCTGGAGCTTTCTCTATTCTAGGCTAAACAAATCCAACTCCCTGCAGTTCCTTATAAGAGAAGTGCACCAGCTCTTTGATCATCCTTTTAATATTTCTTTTGATTTTCTCCAGCAGCTCTATGACTTTTTGTGCTGGTGACCCTCAGGGCTGAACATGGTATTCCAGGTGAAGTCTTGCAAGAACAGAGTAGAGAGAATCACTTCCCTTGATCTGACAGCTAAACTTCTTTTGATGCAGCTCAGGATATGATTGGCTTTCTGGGCTGCAAGCACTCATTAACAGTTATATTCAAGTTTTTATCCTCCAGCACTCCCAAAACCTTCTCCACAGGGCTGCTCTCACTCCAGTCTTTGCTCAGCCTGTATTTATGTTAGAGATTGACCTGACTCAGGTGCAGGACCTTACATGTGGCCATATTGAACTTCATGAGGATCTCATGGGCTCACCTCCCAAGGCTGTTCAGGTCCTTCTGGATGGCAGCCCTTCCCTCCAGAGTGCTGACTGCACCACGCAGCCTGGTGTTGTCCACAAGCACTCAGTCCCACTGTCCATTCCATCGACAAAGATGTTGATGCTGGTACCAGTACAGTACCTAAGGGACATAGACAGATATCTTCAGGACATTTACAAGTTTTCCATCTTGCCTTCCTGGCAACAGTGGTGTTTACCAGCCAGCCTTGGAGTGAAGCTTATAAATAGGAGGGGAGTCTACTCTTTGATAAGGTAGATAACAGCAGGACAAAAGGAAATGATTTTAAGCTGAAGGAGAGAAATTTAGGTTGGATGTCAGGGAGAAGTTTTTCACTATGAGAGTGGTGAGGTGCTGGAACAGCTGCCCAGAGATGCTGTGGATGCTCCATCCTTGGAGGTGTTCAATGCCAGGTTAGACGGGGCCCTGGGCAGCCTGGTCTAGTAGTAAACGTGGAGGTTGGTGGCCCTGCATGTGGCAGGGGGTTGGAGCTTCATGATCCTTGAGGTCCCTTCCAACCCGGGCCGTTCTGTCATTCTGTGAAGACAAAAGCGCATCAAGGAGCGCATCCTGGCTGCAGTTCTTAGCGCGGACTCAGGGTGTCACTGCAGGCCAATGCGGGGAAGGGACTCCGCCGGCCGTGGCGCCCGCGCAGTGCCGCTCCGATCCGGGCAGAGAGAAGCAGAAGCGATCCTGCTCGGCTCCAGCCCGCGTTGTTTTTCTCCAGTGTCGATTCAGCCGCTCGGGAAGCTTGGTCGTCTGCAGAACACGCTTCAGAACTGCGGAGAATGGAGGTCCGAGCGGCAGCGCGGGGCCGAGAAGCCGCCGGGCGGGTCGCGCTGTTGGCCGTGCTGCTGCCGCTGTGCTGCCGGGCGGCGCCGGAGCGGCTCCGCTACGCGATCCCCGAAGAGTTGGGCAGGGGTTCACTGGTGGGATCGCTGGCGCGGGACCTGGGGCTGAGCCCGGCCGAACTGCCGGCGCGTCAGCTGCGGATTGTCTCCGGTGATGAAAAGCGATACTTCGTTCTTGAGGAAGAGAGTGGAAACCTGCGGGTAAACGAGAGGATAGATCGGGAGGGCATCTGCGGGGACGTGACGCCTTGTGTCTTTGGTTTGGAAACTGTCGTGGAAAACCCTTTCAATATATATCACGTGAGCATTACTATCCAGGATATCAATGACAACGCGCCGCGCTTTGACAAAGAAGTTGTTGCTATAGAAATGATCGAGTCCACTCCCCCCGGGACGAGGTTCCCTCTGGGCAGCGGCAGAGACCCCGACATTGGGGTGAATTCGTTACAAAACTACCAACTTACCCCCAATCCGCTCTTCTCCCTTGTAGTGAAGGAGAGTTCTGACGGGAGGAAACACGTGGAATTGCTATTGGAGAAAAACTTAGATCGTGAAAAACAGAAAAGCCATAATTTGATACTGACGGCAGTGGATGGTGGGGATCCAGTCCGATCTGGAACCGCACAGATTAAAGTTGTTGTGACAGATGCAAATGATAATGCACCAGTGTTCGACAAAGAGATTTACAAGGTTCGAGTGCCAGAAAACCTTCCAGAAGGCTCCTTAGCTTTTCAGGTGAAAGCTACTGATGGCGATGAGGGTACAAACGCAGAAATCACCTATTCCTTCAATGACATCGCAAGCAGCGCTCACCAACTCTTCAGTCTGGACCCCAAGACAGGTGATGTGAAGATTATCGGTCCCCTAGATTATGAAGATGTGAAATATTATGAAGTAACTGTTGAAGGCAAGGACGGAGGTGGGCTGAGTGCACACACCAAAGTGCACATAGAAGTTATAGACGTGAACGACAATGCTCCAAGCCTTACCCTCCTGCCTATTTTGAACCCGGTACCCGAGGATTCAGTCCCGAGCACAGTCGTGGCCGTTATTAACGTTCGTGACAGGGACAGCGGAGTAAACGGAGAAGTGACCTGTAATCTTGACGGTGACTTGCCTTTCAAACTAGAAGCGTCATCAGAGAGTACCTACAAACTTGTAATTGAAAATAGCCTGGACAGGGAGGAAGTTTCTGCTTACAACATCACAATCATCGCCACGGACGGGGGCAGCCCGGCGCTGTCGAGCCGCGCGGATCT